CCGCCCGGCGCGCCGCCGCCTCCGCGCTAGGCCTTCTTGCACTTGCCCTTCTTCTCGCGCTGCTGGAACTTGCGCAGCCGCCGCGCCCACGTGTCCCGCCACTGGATCACCAGGCTGCTCTTGTCGGCCACGATGCCGCTCTGGTCGGGCGAGTCCTCCGCGTTGCCCAGCAGCAGGTACTTCTTGAGGGGCTTGATTTTGGGGCACTTGCAGGCGATGTCCCGCGAGCGGATCCACAGGCTCTGGTCACCGCGGCGGATGCGGCTCGTGCCCTGCTTGTACACGGAGATGATGTTCACCGTGAACTTCCACCAGTCCCCCGCCTTGTCCGCCTTCAGGATGTGGATCTGGACGGCTGCAAGGAAGCACAGGCAGGCCGCTGGGCCACAGGCCGGGGAGTGCCGCCTGGGCCCCCAGTTCCTGTGGCCAGGTCGGCCCGGCCTGCCCCCACCCTCTCTGAGGCCGAGGATGGGGCAGCCTTTTGATGGAGAAGGAAGAGGAGGCCCAGAGCTGAAAAGTGACTGCACAGGGTACCCCACGGGGTGATGGGTGGGTGGCGGCAAAGCTGAACGTGGAACCCCACCTGCTGATACCTGGGCCAGGGCCAGTGCTCCACGAAGCCTCACCTCCTGCCTATTTTGAAGGTGCCACTCAGCACTGCCTTTGGGGACAAGCCTCCTCTTAGGATCCACGAAGGCCAGAGGAAGCCTGTAGGAACTGACCACCTGCCCAGGACAGATGCCCTCAGAGAAGTGCTGGCCACTCCTCACAGGCTGGGGGGGAACCTCCTCAGGTGGCCCTGCTGGGCATTTCCCAAGGCCCCAGTCACTGACCACCAAGCCTCATGACACCTCCAGACACACAACCTTGCCCTTGACCCAATCTCAGAAACCCTAATGGGATCTCAGCGCCCAGGTGCAGAGCACCCTGAACCTGCCCTTCAAGGGGGCCACAGCAGAGTCTGGGGTCCTTGTACAGCCCACCTCCCATCCCTGCCAGGCTGCCCCCCCCCCGCCCCCCGCAAAGCCCCGAGGCCATTCCCCTTTCTTCCAATTCCCTGCTAGTGTTTCCCCTAGCGTAGGGGTTCTCAAACTGGAGCATGCATCAGAATCCCCCTGGGGGGCTTGTCAAACACCCATGGCTGGGCCCCACCCCAGAGCTTCTGATTCAATAGATCTGGAGGGGGCCCCAGAATATGCATTTCTCACAAATTCCCAGGTGGTGATGATGCTGCCTATCCAGGGAACTCACTGAGAATCAGTGCCCTAGTCAATGTTAACAAATGTCATTTCTGCAGGATATTACCAGGTGTTATAAAATAGGAGGAAATGTGTTTTTTTAAAAAAATGGGGGAACTTTGTTCAAATACGTTTGTGAAATACCGGGTTAAACGAAGTCAACAGGTTTCGTTACTGCAGGACTTTTCAGAGCCTTTAATCTACAAATTTTGTGTGTGTGTGTGTATGCATGTGTCTTGGTTTCCCAAACAACTCTGACTGCAGAACCCTTTGGCTTGTGCATCTCAGGTCACCAGAGCCCCATGGGGCCTACTTGGGAACTGCTGGGGGCACCCAGAGTCATTCCAGAGGATAAATGAAGAGGCCTCTGCTGCACCAACCTCCATTCAAGGGGAATTCAACCATCGTCCCCATCCTGAGTGGACGTGAGCCCTCCTGGGAAAGAAGCAGGAGTTTGCCTCTCCAGATTCAGGAGAAGAAACTGAGACACAGGCAGGATCGCTGGCTCTAGCAGCCACGAGGACATGTCCCCGGGGACGCCAAGCAGTCATCACCTGCCCACTCAGCTGCAGGCCCTGGGCCCACCCACAGCTCGGCCTGGCCTCCCGTGCTGGCTGGCCTCTCTCAAGGTCTCTGGGGGCCACTCGGCCACCTTCATCCCAGGGCCCTCCCTGCTCCCCTCTTGTGCTCACGCTGGGCCCAGGGTGATGGGGAGGGGCAGGGATGGCTGGGCCCAGGGAGCATCAAACACCATCCGACTCATCCTTCTGGAGTGAGGGAAGTGGCAGATTTTCCCATATTTTCATTTCAGCTGTTCCTGGGCATCTTGAACTTTGCACTCCAGTCTGAGGGCTCCAAAGAATGGCTGCCATGGCAACCGTTTCCATGTTTTTGTCACCAAGGGACTCAACACTCAGTGTGAACTCTGGGGGTGGGGGAGCCCTCCAGCCCGGAGAAGTGGCTGGGCCAAGTGTGTCTGACTGTGCAGACGGAGGTCACCGTGGTAACTGAGTGCCCCTCAGCTCAGCAATGGGGGAGCCACCCCTGGCATCCCTAAGAGCCCGGGTTTCCTCTCCTCAGGACTGAGCTGAATACAGAATGAGCCTCCTTCAGGATGCGGCTGTCTCCCTTTGTGGGACCTCAGACCCTTGGCCCAGCCACAATGTCACCTCCCGATAAGGATGCTGCAGAAGGTGCCTGTGGCTGGGGCTCCTGGAGAACGCAGCTTTGATCCCAGGCACTGAGCATCTATCGGTGTTATGGGCTGAACCGTGTCGCCTCCAAAATTGGTATGTTGAAGCCCTAACGCCCGGTACCTGAGAATGTGACAGTATTTGGAGATAGGGTCTTTAAAGAGGTAATTAAGATAAAGTTATTAGAGAGGGCCCTCCAGTATGACTGGTGTCCTAAGAAGAGGAGATCAGAACAGAGATACACACAGAGGGAATACTGCGTGGAGACACAGCGAGAAGACGGCCATCTTCGAGCCAAGGAGAGAGGCCTCAGAAGACACCAACCCTGCAACACCTTGATCTTGAACTGCCAGCCTCCAGAACGGTGAGAAATAAATGTCTGTTGTTCAAGCCCCCAGTCTGTGGGACTTTATTCTGACAGCCCAAGCAGACTCATGCCATTGGAACCGAGGACTCTGGGGACACTGGGCCTCAGCTCAGGGCCAGGTGGGAGGGCAGAACTGGCGGGACCTCCCAGCTACGCCAGGAAGAGAGCGGGCTGGGCAAGCTCAGGCCGGGGCTGGCCCTCCTTGCTCCCTGGCCCCGCAAGAATGCGGCCCTTCACAGCAGAGGACTCGGCGCCTGCCCCACCTTCCCTGGCCTGGAGCTCCCCGTCCCCTCAAGGAATGCCCTGGAACACCAGGCAGGGCATCCAAAGCCACCCCACTTCCCCAGGCACGGCCAGCGCAGGCCTGAAGGGGGCGCGCTTAACACTGAGGAGGCAGCCCCGAGGGGGTACCTGCCCCCGGACACCTTGCTGTCCTCGAGCATCCAGGGACCAAAGCAGTGGACACTGGTCAGCTGGGACAAAGCACTGGCCCTGTCCTCCTCCCACCCCGGCAGCTCCCTGGCCACGACGTGGGACGGCACAGCCTGGGGGCAGGGGCAGGGGAGGGTGGTGGCAGGACTCATGTGATTATGCTGGAAAGACTCCACATTTCCGCTGCCCTTGGCAACGCGTCCCACATTACACAGCCCACCAAGTATGAGCTGTACACGCAGTGCACGGGCCAAGGCCCTGCAGCGCACACAGCTGAACATATGCACAATCCACACTGAAGCAGGGCCCTCAGGCAGACCCGCTCTGCACGCTCAGGGAACACGCTCGGCACGGCTCTGCACGGGACAGCGCCACCTCCGGCCGCCCTGCTGGCTGGGAGCCGGGAATGACTGGGGTCTCCTGGGCGCCCGGGGCATTGCCCAGCTGGGAGCTGGGCACAGTGGCTGTGGGCAGCTCTGCCCATCCTAAGGCCACTGCCCCCGAGGGCGGGCCCCTGACACCCACATGACACACACACCCGGCCAGTTAGCCTCAGCCCATAGCATGCCTAAGCCCTACTTTCCTACTGATGTCGTCCTAAACTGACCTCAATGAGGCCAGAACATGGGGTCCGGTGAGGATCCCCCATCCTGTGTTCGGAAATGAGGGTGATGAGATGACCCTCGGAAAGGCAGACCATGAGATCAGACCAGGGCGATAAGAGGCGCTCTGAGACCCCTTAAAGTAGAGACTAGTTTGCAGGAAGAGGCTCCCAGCGTGAAGCCAGAGTGCTCTTCTCTGTCTGGAGAGAAGGCAGTGGCTGCGGCAGACGCTGGCCGGGAAGGGCAGCCCGGCCCCCAGCCTGCTGGTGCTTCGGGCCCCTCTCCAAGTAGTCAGCAGCCCCACTCGGGGTCCACACCGTGAACGGTCCACCCCTCGTCCTCCGAGCCCTTGCTCACCCACAAAATGAGGGCTCAGGCTGGGCAGCTGCTGTGCTTGCCCCGGGGCTCTGCTCTTGGGCAGCAGCAGGCATCGGGGTGTGGGACAGGGGAGGCTGGCTCCAGAAAGCCCCGCAGAGCTGTTGCACCCACGAGCGCCCCCAAGCAAGCCTCAGAGGAGGCGCGTCTGCAGGATGGAGCAGACGCCCACGGAAAAGCAAGGAGCGCGCCTTTGCGCAGTCTCCGGAGAGCAGGAGTCAGCCTCCAGGTCCTAGGGGCCAAGCTGCACTTCGTCCCTGGCCTTGGCGTGCCTGGGCTGCCTCGTATCTCTGTGCATTAAACCCTGCAGGCAGGCGGGCAGCAATTCCGTGGCTCCCAGGAAGGACTTTCGTCAAGGAACCCTCCTTAGCCACCAGAGCAGGGCTACGAGGACCGAATCCCCCTGCTCTAATTCAAGCCTGCCGCTCTGGCTGGGGGAAACAGGCTCCTCTGTCCCTCGGCAGAGGCCTGCACCTGGCTCTGGAGGGCTGGCCGTGACCCCACGGGGGCAAGAAGAGGCCTGAGGGCCAGGCCCATGGAGGCCAACCTCAGCAAGAACAGCCGGTGCCAGAGCTGGGTGGCTTCTGGCCAAGGGGCAGGGGCCTAGGAGGCGGGCCCTGGGCAGGCTGGGTGCCCTGCCCAGCCCTGGGGGTCCTCTTGGCTGCTGCTGGCGGCATCCCTGGCCACAGTGCAGGTGTGTCCTTCCATAGGAGCAGACCTCTGGCCATGCTTCCCAGGGTGCCTCAACCTCTACAGAGCCCTAACGCTGGGAAATTACCAGGCCATCAAAGGCGACCTGAGGAGTGGGAAGCTCCAGGTCCCATCCTGCACTTGGATTCCTCCAAAGGGGGACTCGCTGCCCTACGGCAGCCCTGTCCTCTGTCCGGAGCCCCTGTCCATTCAAAGCCTGCCTCCCCCCTCCCTCTCCAGCTCTGGGCCCTCCGAGGACCTGGCACTGCCACCACCTTGGACAGTTAATGGCAGGAGGTGGCTCCGAGCTGACTGATGCCCCCACTTGCAGGTTTTGGGGACCTCCTGCTGGGATCAAAGCTCCCGCCCGCCCGGGCCAGGTTCTAGGAAAGCTGCTGGGTCAGTGAGGAGTATACAGTTGTTGCCCATTCATCTGCCGGCCCAGCCAGAGACAGACA